GCGCCACCAAGCCGTGGGAAGGCCCCGGGCGGTCACCGCCTCCACCGACCGCTGGGAGGTCCGGCTCTGCCGGCCGGCAGCAGTGCAGCGTACTGGGTGGCCTTGGGCAGGTGCCCTGGGAGGTCCCACGGGAAGGCAGGGGTGTTCCGATCTGTACCTGGTGTGCCCTGGGCGCTGCTGGCGGGTGGAGCTGCTGCTCTGGGATGCCCCAGCCTCCCCTGAGGGCCAGCCCGGTGCCTTCCTGCCTCCCGGGGTTATGGGGCCCTCAAACAGTTTGGTCTGGTGAGGTTGGTAGGGTGGCTGTGACCTGCTCCTCAATAGGAACTCCCCAGCAGCTCCTCCCTTAGGAACCCAAAGCACATGGAGAAGTGGAGTGTGTGTGTGTGTGTGTGAACACCATAGAGTACTCAGACCTGTGAGAGGCTGTGGTCAAGTTCAAAATATACTCAGGTTGCAGCGTGGCCCACAAAGTTGGGCTCTGGCCAAGGTGCTTGAGGGCCTGACTTCCTCATAGTGGTTGGTGGCATCCTTGGAAATCGGATTCCAGCTCACCAGAGACAGAACTGTCCTTGGGGAAGCCTGATTACCCGGTGAGAAGAACATGCCTGTGCTTCCTGCCACAGGGACCCACACTTGGCAGGGTACCCAAACAGGCACATACAGACCTAACGTACAGGAACACACTGGCACAAGCAGTTCTTATCAGGAGGCGCGGGTGGTCACCCCAGCCACACCTGTGAACACTTCTTCCAGATGCCCCCAGCATTCATGTGATCTCTCAGGGCATGGGCTAGTGCGGCAGAAAGCCCCATCATCATAGAAGGTGCACAATCTGTGCGCTCTGGATGCCCTGGACAAGCAGAAATCAAGGAAGCCTTGGGTGATATTTGCCGTGTGTAACCGGCTGAGATGGCAAGGTTTAGCACAGGAGCAGGTTTCAGGCAAAAGTCAAGGACTCTGGGGTGGATGTATTCATGTGAGATGTCCCAGGTCATCGCAGTGCACAGTTAAACAGGGGGTCTGGAGTTCAGAAAAGAAGTCTGAACCAATTACTTAAGCTTGGAAGTCATTGGGTAACAGATGGCATTTAAAGCTTTGTGAGCAGACGAGACCACCCAGAAAGTGTGGATGGGCACAGAAGGTGCCTAATGCAATATTTAGCATTTGTTGAGCACTCATCGTAATACCAGAAAAGGCACGAAGCGTTTTGTAAGCATTAACTCATTTCACCCTTGGCAACCTACAAAGTAGTAATAGTATCATCCCCACTTTACAGATGAGAAACAAGGCACAGAGAGGTAGAAAAGCATTCAGGCTAAGGTCAACAGGTTATAAATGGAAGGGCTGAAATTCAGTAAGGCATTTTGATCCCAGAGCCAAACTATGAGGCTGTATATACTTTGTAGACTTCTTCAATATTGGGCTATAGGCTCTAATACTAAGCCTAGTGCCATGCCATCAACATGAAGGGCTTAATAGCCATATATGGACAAAAGCCACATATGGCTATTAAGCACTTGAAATGAGACTGGCCTGAATTGCTGGGTATAGTGTGGGTGAGACACAAAGTAGACTTTTTTTTTTGTCTTTTTAATTTTTTTTGGTACCAGGGATCAAACTTAGGACCTTGCACTTGCAAGGCAGGTGGCAGAACCACTGAGCTAACTCCTTTGCCCTGCACAGCAAAATTTTTTGGGTTTTTTTTTTGTTGTTGTTGTTGTTGTTTTTTGAGACAGGGTCTCGCTATGTAGTTCAGACTGCTCTGGAATTCACTACATAGCCCAGGCTGGCCTCAAACTCACAGTGATCCTCCTGCCTCAGCCTCCTAAGTGCTGGGATTACAGGCATGCTCTACCATGCCCAGCCTTTTTTTTTTTTTTGGAAAGTAGAATTTTTAAAAGCGAAGTACCTCATTGATCTTTTCATACTGATTGCATGTTGAAATGGCAATATTTTAGATTGATTAGCTTAAATAAAATATTCAACTTTTTTCCAAGAAGATTGAACTCAGGGACTTGTGTACACTAACCAAGAGTCCTACCACTGATTACCTCCCCAGCTCCTCTTTTTTTTTTTCAATGTGGCCACTAGAACATTTTTAATTGTATATTCATCTCCCATGATATTTTTTATAAGGCAGTTCTAATCCAGTGCAGGGTTTTCCCACCTTGACATTACTGACATTTGGGGCTGGATAATTATTGTGTGGGCCTGCTCTGTGGATTGCAGAACGTCCAGCAGTATCCCTGCTAGATGCAAGGAGAACCCCCCAAATGGTAACCTTTGATAATGTCTCTATCTAATATCAAATGTTCCTGGGAGATGAAGCTTCCCCTAGTTGAGACGCACTGGTCTTGAGAAACTCCAAAATTTCAGGGTTAAGTAGAAAAGAAAGAGCTGCCAGAGTGGACTAGAGAGGATTCGCCAGGGAGACAGAAGAAAGCCAGGCTTGGGCAAGGTGGGAGCTAAGAGAGAGTTTCATAAACTAATTGAATTGGAGGTAGACATGTTTTGTGTTCACTGCTGGCCTGCCTGGCAGGTGATAGGTGTTCAATAAACACTGGTTGGCAGAATTCTAATTTAAGAAGCTTCACTGCTGAGAAAGCAAGCCGGGCTGGTGAGAAATGTGGAGTCCAGGATTTGCTTGCTTTTGCTTTGGCTTAAGATGGGAGAGGGTAGAGCTCGGATCAACTGACAGGAAATGCTCACTCTGTGGGACTTTTATGAAAAGGTTTCCACCTTGATTGTAAAGTTCTCGAACCATTTTCGTTGTTCAGAAACATTTTTGTTGTTCAGGATCATGTCCCTTAGTGCCCAGAAAAGAAGCTACAATATAGAAAGAATTCTGAAATATTTGTAAAACAGAGAAATAATAATCATTAAAACAATCTTTATTGCATTTAACACGTGGAAGGCCTTGTCCTAAGCACTTTGACGTGTATCAACTCTCGTAAACCTCACAACTCCTTAAGAGACATTTTATTATCTCACTCATGAAGACTTGGGTTATATGACTTACCCGAGACCACATAACTAATAAGGGGATTCTAACAGAAAGGCTGGCTCTGGAATTCATGCTGGTAAGTACTGCATCACACGGTAGAGTGTGGTGGACCAGTCAGGCACAAGGGCTGGGTGAGACAGGAAAAAGCGGGAACGAATCTGAATGCTGCCGAGCTCCTCTCTGGGTAACTGGTGGGCGGAGATGACGACCGGAGAGACTAGAATGGGACCCTGGGAAGGAACAGCCAAAAAACTCTTGGCAGAAGGGGAAAATCAGCCAAGAATGGAGCACTACAGCGCAAGGTGAGAGAAAGCCAGAGAAAGGCCATTGGTCACCAGCCCAAGGGCTCTAAGGAGAAGACATGTGACCAGAGGCCCTGGCGTGAATGCCCAGAGGAAGAGAGGAAAGGCCCAAACTCCGTGCTCTTGGAAGAGTTTGAGGTTGCAGAGTTAGGCTTGGAAATGGTGTTGGTTGATGAGCAAGGGAACCTCAGGCCACCCAGAGCTCGCAGGAGGATTTTGCGGGCTGTTGGAGAGGGGCTCGGTAGTAGGCAGAGGATGGAGCCTGGGTGGCTCACAGGGCTCAGGCAGCCTCAGGGGAGGAAGAGAGGAGACCATGACTCTTCCTACATGTGCCGGAGCTGATTGAGCAAAAGGTGGTTTCCAAGGGTCAGTTTCAGCTCCTGTGGCCAAACGCTAGGTCTGCCTCAACCTCACAGGGAGATCACTAAGATGTCATGGCTCTAGCGCCAAAGGGCTGACTTGCAAATGGGCCATGTGCTAGATCAGGATTCTGGAGACCTCTGTGGGACCAGCCACTGGGCCTCTAACCACTGCATGGTGGAGGGCTGTGGGGGCTCCAGAGGACAGGGTGACGGGCTAAGATGCCCAGGGAAGGAGATGGCAGTTATTCATTGTGCAGTAATTTATGTGTATCTCGGGGGCTGCTCTGTAATCCCCATAAAAGCAGGGACTGTGTCAGGTTGGGCACTGTCATCCCCAGAGTCTGGCAGTATCAGGCGCATAGTAGGTATTTGTTAAGTATTGGCTGAGTATTCAGTGATTGGGAGGGGAGCTGAGGGCTCCTGAAGTCCATGGGGGAAGTGATGCCTGGTTTTGGGGGTCACAGCAGAGTCACAAGGTGCCACTGAGCCTTCCCTCTGCAGGAACCTGCCCTTCCCTAGCTGTCTGGATACTGAGACCCAGAGAGGGACAGAAACACGTCCAGGGCCACACAGTGAGGTTTTGGTATTCTCATCTGTAAAGCGCGATGATAAAAAAATTTACCTTCCAAAATGTCTAAAGGAGTAGGGGAAGTGGGAGTGGTAGGGGAAAGGAAAGAAGGGAAAAGACAAAAATAAGAGAAATGGAAAAACAAGGAAACAAAGTCTTTGTAAATAGGGAAGTGTGGAGGGGGTGAAGGGAGGGGAGGGGAATGAGGAAAAAAATAAGAACCAGGTTACATCTTATAAAGGTACAGATCCTAATGATGAATGTAACTGTACTGTACACCTAAAATGTACCAATAAACTTAATGGAAAAATTAATTTAAAAAATGTTACTCTGCTGGGTGTGGTGGTGCGTGCCTGTAATCCCAGCACTCGGGAGGCTGAGGCAGGAGGATCACTGCAAATCCGAGGCCAGCCTGGGGCTATATGTGAGTTCAAGGCCAGCCCGAACTAGTTTTTGTCTCAAAAAAAAAAAAAAAAAATTACTCTTCCACTCGCTGCTTGTGCGGATGAAACAGGGTGAGAAGCATAGAACAGCAGTGGTGTCTAGAGGGAGCATCCTAGTGTCTGCCTTCGGGCTCTGCCTCTCTCCTTTCTCTCCCGAGGTGACTCATTAACTTCTGAGGGGTTACCTCTTATAAGCCT